ACTGCAAAGTAGTCGGACATGTCTGCTGCTCCAGTTCCGGTTTCGGGACTCTGTATATGTATCATGAAGAAGTAGTCGATTCTACTGTAACTTGTTTTAGGTGCAGAGTAGTGTGTTTAGTCCCTTCTGGTATGGGGGGTTCTCTCCAGATATCAACTATACCAAATTCTTTGAACAGAATATTGACGGTTTTTGTGACTTGTGGGTTTTTCTTCTGGTTTGTTGTGTCTAGACTACTATTCATAACTATGTTAAAGTCAACTCCACATATTAGTTGTTACGTCCCTAAAGTGTCTAGGGGTCGAGGACGTAAACAAGTTAAAATAATAAACCCGGGAGATCTGGATCAACGGCAAAACACAAGGATATTTAATGAAGGAAAACAACACAAGGAAACTGAACACAATCTCCAAAAGGAAGACGAGGACAGCGTCTGGCTTCTTCTTTACTGGCTCCCGAAACCTCCTCACGTCAGCACCTCACAACCTCTCTGGTTCCGCTCTGGCTTCCACTGAAGCAACTCCCCCCTCTGGCTTGGCACAGCCATTTAATCCCCTTCTGATCCGCTGCAGGAGTGACGTCGCCAGCACACCTGAAGGAAATCACACCCACTCTCACACACACACACACACACACACACACACACACACACACACACGTGCAAACACAAACAAGGCACGTAACATTAGTTTTCCCTCTGTTTGAAGATTAATACAATGTAGTAAAGTTTTAAAGAAGGAGCATGAACATTTATCAATGTGACGTGTTTGTTTTCCAACTTTCCTTTTCCAACTCTGTCTGCCTTCGTTATCGCCGATTTCTTTTAGAGGTGAATGAGTGATCCAGTTTAAGTAACTAGAGCTGTGGCTCGTCTCTGCTATTGTCTTTTTCTATAACACTCAGCCTGTGTCACAGTTTGTGGTGCAGAAAGCTGCAAACTCTGTTAGGATCTTGAAAGTTTATTACCTATCTGGTCTACTTCATTTGGATCGCTTCGTTTTAAGGCTTTGGGCTCGTTTTCCTCCAGTTCGATCTTCTGCTGCCACGCTTTGTTGAGTACCAGTTCTTTAATATTAAACTCTAGAAAGTTCACTACTATTGATCTCTGGGTTGAGGACGTAAGAGGTTTGGGATCGGGGCTCTGTGGAACTGCTGAAGTTGGAGTTCCAAGTTGTCGGGAAGCTTAAAATGGCTTTTAAATAACTAATAACAAATTCAGTGACCGATCTTCCTTCCTTATCTTCTGGGATCCCGAAAATACGAAGATTGTTTCTCTTGGAGCGGCTCTCAGGTCAACAATTTAGTTGTACAAGTTGTAGTTTGTTTCACTACCGTTAGTAGCGTCTCTTTAATCTCTAGCAAGCTGATTCCAGGTCTGTTACGTCTCACGTATGACAGTAAACTCATTTAAGTCCTTTCTTGACATCACTTCTGATTTCACTAAGGTCCCGTCTATTGTTACACTGTCTACTGTCACGCACCAACCGCCAAGGCAAATTCCTTGTATGTTTGACTTATTTTGGCAATAAATGTTTCCTGATTCCTGATGTTGATGCTGCTGGATGTAGAAGCAGCTGTTACTGTAGAAGATGATCACATGTCACATGTTGTGATTACAGCCTGTTTTCACTGAACCACAATCTCTTGATGCAGGTTTAAACATTTGATTCAAACTGAGTGTGAAATGGAAGATGATGGTCAGTATAATACTGATAATAACAGATGATGAATGATGAACATAATGAGCTGTGGTCATCAGCCAATCAGAAGAAGCTCCACTGCAGTAGAAGAAGAGGTGGTCCATGTGGACATGAAGGACAAAGCTGTGTGTGAGTGATGTAATGTCCATGTCTCCATGCTGCTCTGACCCCCCCTCCTCCTTTCAGGGTGGAGCCTGCTGGAGTCCGATGGTTGAGACCAGGTCTGAGGAAGTGTAAGTGTGCTTTGATTCATGAAGATTCAACCATCTTCACACTGTGACATCACTCATTCACCTCTGTGATGTCATCATCAAAGTGTCAGTAGATGATCACATGATTAATAACTGCAGCTGTATTGTGTCTTGTTCTCTCATCAGATTCCTGTGAACTCACAATCGACACAAACACAGTAAACAGAAGACTCAAACTATCTGACAACAACAGGAAGGTGACACGTGTGAAGGAGGATCAGTCATATCCTGATCATCCAGACAGATTTGACCACTGGCCTATGCTGCTGTGTAGAACTGGTCTGACTGGTCGCTGTTACTGGGAGGTCGAGTGGAGAGGAGACGTTGATGTATCAGTGAGTTACAGAGGAATCTGGAGGAAAGGAGAAAGTCATAGCTGTTGGTTTGGAATGAATGATCATTCCTGGAGACTGAGATGCTCTGACAAAGGTTACTATGTCCGTCACAATAAGACAGGGACACGCATCACCTCCTCCTCGCCCTCCTCTGGTAGAGTAGCAGTGTATGTGGACTGTCCTGCTGGCTCTTTGTCCTTCTACAGAGTCTCCTCTGACAGACTGATCCACCTCCACACCTTCAACACCACATTCACTGAACCTCTTTATCCTGGGTTCTTCCTCTGGCCCAGTTCTTGTTCCTCAGTGTCTCTGTGTTCTCTGGAGGATGGAGAGTCTCCTCCTGGTGGAGAACCTTCCTCTCTGCTCACCACATAGTTCAGTCTGTACAGGACGTCACACAGCTGATGGTGGTTAATGTGGGTGTAGATGCAGGTGGAGCAGGTGAGGGGTACCTGAGCTGGTCTGGACTCTGGGGGGTCCACAGCTCTCTGGGACTTGTGGTGTTGCAGATGGTGTGAAGGAGCTCAGCGAGGTGTGTTTTAATGTTGTTGTGCTCGTTGCCTCTGTGGATGAATCAATAGATCATCATTTAGATATCGGGTCCTAATTAGGGTTTAATCTTCATCTTTATATGTTGCATTTTATAAAAAGGCCTGTCAGCTGCCCCCAAAGAATGACAAATATATCTGTATGATAAATTGTCCTTATTTGTGTGTGTGTCATAAAAGCCAGGTTTTTTTTTTTAAGATCTTAGTTGGTAATGACATGAATATAATTTTTTTTCAGCCGATTTTATCTTCAAATCTTTTAAAATCTGTTCAGTGAAATCAAATATAATTTCACGTAATCAAGTTTTTTTCTGAACAAGAACCTTTTGAAAGCTTCAGCAAACCTCTGAAGAAAATATTTAATGACAGATAATACATATAGTAGTATAACATGTAGTCTCTCCATGTATTACTTTGGGTTAACAGGAATATAATTGTATGTTACTAATGTTAATAAATGAAGTGCGGCGTGATGTTTAACACGGTGGTGTGAAGAAGGTCCTTCAAAGTGAAGCATTCTGGGAAAGTAAAAGTGTTTCTTCAACATTAAACATGTGAAATCAGACTGATGGAACGAGGCCTCAGCGGGATTCAATCCCACGGAATCAAAGTGCTTTTTATTGTCATGTATGAAGATCCAAACAAACATCACATTCATACAAAGAATCTGGGAGCAAATGTTTCCAAAGTGATGACCTTTAACCTCACAGCATCTATTTAAGAAAGTTCTCCCAAGCTTCAAATCCAGCAGGAACCTGAACGTGTCAGAGTGAATTCTTCATTCAGCATCAAATAAAATAGATTCACAACAATCGTTCAGTTTGTCTAAAATACTTGAGACATTAAATCAATATGAAGCAGCTTCTCAGTCAGAATGAACTTCAGATGGTTATTAATAAAACAGGTAAAGGTGGTTCTAGTTCCCCTGTAATATTGGAGTCACCTGTGCAGAAAGGAGACATTGATCCTCCTTTTTAACAGCTGCCGTTTGCACTAATTATCCAAGAGAACACAAGCCGCTCCTCAGGGTGGACGAGTGACGTGTTACTGACATTAAACTGGTTTATTCCCCACAGCCCATAAAGGGGAAAAGAGGCCCAGAATATTAACAGAAGAAACATCTGTAGGAAGTGTTTAAGAGTATAAACAGAGTGTTTGTTTGTTGAATTCAACTGGAAAGTGGTTGATTTCATGAGTTTTTTAAGACAATAATGTCAAGCTGCATTCATTCATTCAATTTATTTCTTTATTTCAGACTCATTTATTTTGCTACTTTGTTTGTAGATTTCTCCTAAATTTACTAGTTACATAATGCCTCATTTACATATTTGAACATGACATTTCAGGAACTACATGTGCACTTTAAATATGATATAATACTTGATTTAATTTATACAAACGAGGGTTGACGGTGGCAGAGGGGTAGAGCTGCTGCGCCAGTAACCACAAGGTTGGTGGTTTGAGCCCCAGCTGCTCCATGTCAAAATGTCGCAGAGCAAGACAACTAACCCCTAAGTGCTTCCCAGGCAAAAATGTTAAAAAAAAGCCATGGGTTAAACGTGTAAATAAAAGTTAAATGACATGTTAAATGTGAAATGTTGATATTGTAGAAGACAGAACACAAATCCTTTTATGAACACAGCTCCCACATAGACATTTGTTTTAATTGAATATGAAGAACTGTTTCAAACCCACTGGTTCCTCGTTCTGAAGCTACTTTGTCACAGTGAATAAATACTCAAGTACTCCGACACAGAGCTCTGAGGAACACCTCATTGTCCAGAACTTTCCCTCTCTGAGTGAGAAGACGCCATCATCTGGAGGGTGTCGTGTTTGAAAACTGAAGAAACTGCAGACGGACAGAAGACATCTTGGTTTGAAAAGTTAAAATCAAAAGTATTTAACAAAAGAAAAGGCGTTGTGCTAAAAAGAAGATCTCAGCTGAGGAGCCGCTGCTTTCTACAATCAACAGGCCACCGAGCAGCTCATTGACTCCCCATAGTGAGTGTCTCCTGCTTCCACCAGCCAATCTAGAACAATGGGGGCCTGCAGGTATTTATACAGGTCAGTAAAGGTGTCGAAGGCAGTGTCCACGCACCTGGGCATGTGACTTCTCCTGATGCGTTCCATGTAACTCGGATTTCCAATGTCTCTGGGTCAATATCAGTGGTGGTATCAAGTATTACATGCATGCATTTCGGTTGATTACATTAAATACAATCTGTGCATCTGCAGTGTTATTCTATTGAATAACCTTAGAAACTACAGTGGTATTACACTATTGATTATGTAACATAGTTAGAATGGCTGTTAAAACCCTTCTAAATTGGCTGAACTACGTCATCTACTGCCATGAAGTGGTACACAAACGGACCGTAAAGAGGAAGGATTGTGATCCTCAGTGTGATGGAGGATAAAAAGGAGGTAACGGGTTTTTTTATGTCCGTGGAAAATGTTTACTCATTTCATTTATGGTCTAGCTTTATTATTTTAGATGTTCGTTGTCTTTGTTTAAAGTTGCCATGTTTTTTAAGTTAGTGATACGTTTTATTGTCTGTATCAATGTCCGTTTTTTTTAGCTAGCTAACATCGATTTTTTTGTCGTCTTTTATATTTTACAGGTATGTTATGTTAAGTTGATTAACCTGTATATATTTTTTGGTTACATGTACATGTATTCTTTTAATGTCTAAAATAATGACGAACCACAGCTGAAAACTGTGGTTATGTTACCCGCGGTAATGTTTGCTGATTGAACAGTTATATTTCTGAGAACATAGCGAAATAGTGCGACATCATTTTTCACTCAACTTACCTTCAACCTCTGTGAAGGAATAACGGGACTACGGAAGCCCAGGAGGCGCAGAAGAGACGAATTTCAATTTCCGCAAATTTAACTCATCAAAATAAAATTCACACACACACTCAACAAGATTGTTGAATAACAACCAAAAATAAAATACAATACATTGAAAATGACAGTGTATTTCTAACTCTGTTACATTTAGTCAAGTTCTGTTGTTATAAAACTATACGATCACTGTCTAAGTATTTTGTGTGAGTGTAATGGAGGATTAAAAGGAGGTCCACAATATCCTTTGTGTCCGTTATATTTTACAGGAGTTAACAGCTCCGGCACGACAAACATAGAAAGCAGAAGACACCTCACAGGGGTTACAATGACATAGTTTCAGAATCATGGCTGTATCCTGGTGTCCACTAAATGCATTTTATGAATTGGTCTAAAAATAGACTTGGACATAGACTTCTGTAGGACCAGAGGCGTCGCCCCCTGCTGGTCATCAGAGAGAATGCAGACGCTTAAAGACACAGAGACAGACAAGACACAGCTTTTGCTTCACGGAACCAGACTGTTGCTTGGTCACGTCACATGGATTTAATTGGTCTGACAAATAAAGTATACAATTGATTTCCTATAAATTGCGCTAGTCCGGTTGATGAAAAATGAAAATTTCTGAAAATCAATCATCTCACACAAAGTGGACAAATTCACTCACCTTCATGTTGTTTGATGTGTCTTCCAAAAGCTGATGAATGAATTAAGCGACCGCGGACAACAAGTTCCTCCAAATGCTCTAAAATAGCAACGCTTGTTGCATATTACAAATTATTTTGACAAAGACATCCAAGTGCACAATGTTTATTGTCATTAATCAAATATCAAAGTCTCTGTAAAGTCGTCCTGAATGGAGGCTGTTGTAGTGAATCTGCAGATAGATATTAGTACATGTTACATATACACAGATGTGAAATGTCTATATGTGTGTCTGGTGTCAGGGGGGTTGACCTGCGACTTGCACTCAGCCCTTAGAATCAGTCTCAGCACCACGAGCAGCGCCTTGTATCCATCACCACACAGCCAGTTATTCATGGGGGGAGGGGGTCAGATTCCAACAAAGGCCTCGTTCACATTACAGATCAATGACATTTTCAATGAGGAGAAAAAGTCTGATATGATTGTTTTGAATAACAAGACACTTTTACCATATTGAACATTCAGTAAATCTTATAAATCAAATTATTACTGTGGATTTTATACTACAGACTAGTATTTTACCAAACACTAAGTAATCCGAATACGTCAAACAGAGTGAATGTTATGAAGTCACAGAGTTTCTAGAGAGTTTGCTGGAGGATTTCTTGTGTAACTGCAGTCAAGAAGAAGTGTGTCAAGATGCTTTTAATGAGTGTCGCCTTTTAGTGGTGAACCTGTTTCTTCTGTTCCCGGACTGAAGATAAAAACCACGAGAAGTCGTCACGTTGAGACATGAACTCATATCAGCTCTTATGAAATATGCCTTAAAGAAGAAGCGTTCTCAGTGGGATTCAGAGAGACGTCACACACGGATGCTTCTACGACACTGATGCTTGTTCTGCAGTTTTAAACGGGACGAGGACAGAAAGTGTCTCGGCCGTCGGATCGGTGTCTCTGCATCGTTGTCTCTACAAACTGGGATGAAACAATGAAGCAGGCAGGCGGCTTGTTTAATGTGTGTAACCGGGTTCCATCCACACGCGTTGTGCGTTTACCACGTGCCAAGGAACGCCGGTGTTGTCGCGTCGTCAGCGGACGGGTGCGGCCGTCCTGGATGTCCCGATTCTCACTGCTCGCTCTGCCAAAAGTAGCTCCAAAGGTTCTGGGTGGCGTTCAGACGGAACCAGTTTAGAGACGGAACCATCGCTCGTCTGCGGTACGAGTGACTCTACAACGGCCTCAGCTGCACCGACAACTGGACTCTGTCCACA